CTCTGCCTCCCGAGTGCTGGGATTAAAGACGTATGCCACCACCGCCCGGCAAGACTTACTGTTTTTAATGGTTGTTGGTTGTTTGTTTTTGCCAAAGACTTAAAAGTCCCAGAAGAAGAAAAAAATAGATGGGACAATTAGTGTTTGGTCAGTTCATGCAAGAGTGTGAACAAGGCCAGTGGGCTGTCCTTGAGCTGCGACAGGCTGTTTGGTGTAGCACTTGGGGCTCTTGAGGCTTCTCCTTACTCTTCCACCAACTTCTACTTCCGTGAGAATCAAATATCTGCACACATTGACAAATGTCCACAGAGCGACATGAAACGCTACTCAGTGCTTCTTTAAGCATAAAGGACGAGTATTCTTTATATGCTTATTTACAAAGGTGTGGTTCAGGAGTCATCAAATTGTGTTCTAATTTTTAAAAGGAGTGATATACTTAAAGGTAAGATATTCATTTCCATTAACATATAAAAAGTATGTTATAATACAATGAAAAACTACATACAGTAGACTCTGCTCTCTATGCTTTCCAGTTATCTGTGGTTAACCTCAGCCTCAAAACATTAAGTCAGAAACTTCAGAAATAAGATTTTTAAGCTATCATTTTCAGGTTGTTTTACTCAATCCTCCTAAAGACATGATCCCCACTTAGCCAGTGTTATCACTGTGCATACCACTCAACACTCAGACACATCTTCTATCAGGGCCACAGCCCAGCATCATAGTTCTTATGTTCCAGTAACCCTTATTTACTTCATAGTGGTCCTAAAGAATAATGGTGATGCTGCAAAGGAGTTGCCAGGGAACAAAACATGAAGGACAGAGCAATTCTGTGCTGTGTGACATCTCCATGGGGCAAACAGAGAAATCAAAAACACCACCTCACAATCATGCATATTTTCTACCTTCTGTTCACTGGGATAGATTACAAACTGTGGAAACATGAGCTATTTTAAGTAAACATGAACATAACATGTAATTACAAGAGAGGAAAAGTTAGTTTGAAATTAAAAAAAAAAAAAAACAAATTCAGTGGCATGGCCTCTTGTTGGTAGAATAAGTTTTGAACTAAGCATATAAGGAAAAGCACAGCACAGGGCAAGTTACCTAATGAACTGTGCCATAAATAAATATTTATTGCAACTTGTAGTAGACTTTTAAATTAAAAAAAAAAAGAAGAAAGTAAAAGAAAATCCTACTGAAAACAAAACCCATTTCAATATGCACAAAAAGCAAGACATTATTTTAATTTGTCTGTGGTCCCTCAGCTCTCTTTTGGCTCCAGAACTTCCCTATGGCACTTTTCACCTCTGCATTTCTAAGAGTGTAGACAATGGGGTTCAGCATGGGGGTGATGACCGTGTAGAAGACAGCCACAAGTTTGTCCACAGTGTAGGTAGAGGAAGGTCTCATGTAAATAAAAGCACCAGGCCCAAAGAACAAGATGACCACTGTAATGTGGGAGGCACAGGTGGAGAGTGCCTTGCGCCTCCCCTCTGCTGAATGGTTCCTCAAGTTGACTAGAATGATGACATAGGAGGTCACCAAAATAAGGAGAGAGATTATAGAGATTAAACCACTGTTGACCATCACAACAACCCCCTCCACAAAGGTGTCAGTGCAGGCAAGCTTAAATAATGGCTGGAGGTCACAGAAGTAGTGATCAATCACATTAGGACCACAGAAGGGCAATGGAATGGTGATGAGGATCTGGATTATGGAGTGAATGAGGCCCCCCAGCCAGGAACCAGCCACCAGCATGTGACACACTTGATGACTCATGATGTTCATGTAATGAAGAGGTTTGCAGATGGCCACATAGCGGTCATAAGCCATCACTACAAGCAGAATGACTTCAAAAACTCCAAAGAAATGGGAGAAGAATATCTGAGCCAGACAGCCCTTCAGAGAGATGGCTTTAATCTTAGCAAGTAAGTCAGTGAGGAACTTGGGGACAATGGTAGAAGAGTAGCAGATCTCCACCAGGGACAAGGAGCTGAGGAAGAAGTACATGGGGGAACGGAGACTCTTACTGATGCTGACTGTCACAACAATGAGGCCATTGCCCAGCACTGTGGCCACATACACAGGAAGGAACAGTACAAAGCACACCTTCTGCACCTCTGGATCCTGGAAAAGGCCAGTGAAAATTAATTCAGTTACATTATTTTCATTGGCCATGGAGTCAGTTCAAGTGTGTTGAACATCAGGTAGTATGAAGGCTAGAAAAAAGTCAAAAATTTTAGAACAAATTAATTTCACTAAAAGCATTCTAGAAAGGACAGACTGTTTTATTATACACTTACTACACAATCTTTCGTTTAGCAAGTATATTCTCATTCAGCATTAAATATTAGTAATTTAAGATTCCATTTCTTTTATTTTAGTTTAATTTAGCTATTAACAGAGAATAGAAATCCACAAAATGTATATTTACACATAATCACATAGAAATTGAAACTCAGAATAAGTCTTTCTAACCTTCAGCCCTTCAGGTTCTTTCTAATTCATCACAAGGAATTCTGAATTTAAGATTTCAAGATATATGATTGTTACATAGATAATAGATGCATAGATGAGTACATAGATCATATATTTGTATTATCTTCATTGCATTTAATAGGTCTTCCTTTGAGTTACCCCTTTGATACTGTTCTGGTCCAATTCTTTGTATCCATCTGTTCCTCAGAGAACTACTACACCTGAAGTATAGACTTGGTAAATCATAAAGAATACACAAAGGGACTGGAGAGATGGCTCAGTGGTCAAGAGCACTAACTGTTCTTCCAGAGGACACGATCTCAGTTCTTAGCAACATCATGCCACTAACAACTGCCTGTATCTCCAAGATCTGACAGCCTCACCCAGACATACATGCAGGCAAAACACCAATGCACATAAAATAAAAACAAATATATTAAAAAAGAATACATATTTATAACCTCAGAATTCTACAAGCTCAGAAGGCCAAAGCAAGCTCAGAATCAAGGGGGTCGGGATGACCTTCCCTCTGTGTTGTGGCATGGCAGAGCTATCAGATGATGAGACAGAGCAAGCATGACAAGGCACGCTCCCTTTACAGCAATGCCACTCAACCTTCAAGCCTACAGATGCATGAACAGAATGAGCCATCATGATCCAATCACCACCTAGAGATCAAACTTCCAAAACCATAAACTCATCAGTTTACCATAAACTTATCACTTTAGCAAGAAATGTTTCTCCTGTTCTTTCTGTCCTTTCCCAATATCTTTCATGCTGTTTTCTCTCCTAGGTAAGGCCCATCCTTGCTTTACTCAAAGCAGAGTCCTCTACATCTTCTTGCATCAAGAAATATGTTTCAGCCGGGCGATGGTGGCGCACGCCTTTAATCCCAGCACTCGGGAAGCAGAGCCAGGAGGATCTCTGTGAGTTCGAGGGCAGCCTGGGCTACCAAGTGAGTTCCAGGAGAGGCGCAAAGCTACACAGAGAAACCCTGTCTCAAAAAACCAAAAAAAAAAAAAAAGAAATATGTTCCTATATCAAATGTTCACATGTCTGAGAGTACTGAACTAACTACATTTTCCACACCATTCTACAATCATTTCTCACCATCTACCATCAAATCTACTGAGAGACATTCATTACAAAGAGACTGAAAAATTTCTTAATAGCTAAGAGGGATCAGATGAGTGGGAGAAACAGAGAAAGGATTCCATACAGAAACTAGAGAGCTGATGAAAAGGGAAAGGTTATGTTTCCAGATACACAGGGCCAGTGTACATATGAACTCACAGAAACTGTGACAGCATGCCCAAGGCCTACACAAATTCAATAGAGACAAAAATCCCGGCATGGAGAAGGGGAAGTGCATAAAAATCCCACCACTAACCAAGAGGCTATTTGCAATTGACTCCTGCTGGGAAAGAGAAATATCAGTTTTCTCCCATGAAGTGACACTGTGTATATAAACACACTCCAGGGCAGTCCTCAAGCCCAGAAGTAATAAGGCAACACAAAACAGATTTGGTATTTGTGAGGTTGTCTATTTGGGGGGTGGGTTTATTACTGTTGTTTGGTTGGTTAATTGATTTTTTTTTTTTTGGTTAGTCGATTTTTTTTGGAAGAAAAAGAACATGAAGTTGGATGGGTAGGGAGAGGAAGAATCTGGGAGGAGGAGTAGGGGGTTGGGAAAGAATATGATTAAAATATATTGTATGGAATTTATTAATTAAAAATGAAATAAATAAAAATTCAAAAGCAATAAGAATAGATTATAACCAAACATATTTTTTGAAGAGATAAGCCATTATTTATTCTTCCACTTGGGATGAAGCCGAGAAACACTGGACCCTACACAATTTTCTGTCTGTCCCTGACTGACAACTCAAAGTTGAAACACTTATTCTAAAGTCATATACAAGAAAAAATATTCTTAAATCAGCTTTAAACAGACTGAAAATGGTTAGTGAATGGGTGTGTGTTTCCCTAATTCAGGGATTAAGTTTTGTCAAGGTCATTTGTAACAAAAACAAACTTCCATTTCCCTTATCATATTGTCAGCAATAAAGATGTCTTCTGCTGTCTTAAAAGTTTTAGTTCTTATTAGTTCAACATTCATAAAGAGAGAAATCAGGACAATTATAAATTACTCCAACTTAATAGTCATTATTTTCATAATCTGAGGTTCCTCGACAATTTACCACCTCATTTGCCCAAGCTTTTCTTAACCTTGCTCAAGTCACAATCCTCTCCCTTACCATACACACTCATGCTGTTCATTCCCAACCCAGAACCTCACTTAGCCAGAATGCCTTCACTTGTCCCCTAAAACCCTACCCTTCTTGCAAGCCCATTCACGTCCTGCTTGTGCAGTGAGATTTTTCCAAATGATGCCATTGCAAATACATCTTCTCTTCGCTGAGCACTGAATAAATACTAAAAATACACAAAGATGTCCCTGTTCCCACAAAACAAATGCTAATGCTTTCAAGAGTTCAAGGTTGTTCCGGGATTGCTCTTACTGAGTCTGTCCCCTTATAGTCAGTTCCCAAATAGACACTACACAGCAGTTGCCTACCCCAGGGTATCCTCTCTTCCCTCTCTGTTCTGTATTCTTCCTCACTACATTGCAATGTTGATTTCACTATCACAGAATAAAGTTCTCATGACTCTCTGTCCTTATGCCATATTACCATTCTCTTTACTCACAATTAAAGGCTCACGAAGAAGCATGGAAGGCAAGAGGACAAGTCTATAAAGTCACAAATCAGCAGGTGAACACAGAAGTCTGCATAGACAGGGCTAGAGGAAAGAAGAGTTACCCGATACCTATAGCAGCCAATAGGCTTCATGCTTTTACCTCTAGTCACTTCACTTACCTTCAGGTCAGAAGAGTTGCTGTGCTCTTGCTCTGCCTTGGATTTCAAGTAAATTGTCTCTAATTCACCATAAAATTCTCTGCTCCCATGAATCAGACCATGGCTCAAGGAGAGGTTGTGCTCTGGAAAAAGCTAGACAGGGAAGGAGTCTTACAGATCCTGTGTTCTTCCATAAATGAAGTCCCTTGACTAATAGTATCACCACAGAGCAGACTGCCCAATAAAGACCCAAACCCAGGTTACACTCACCAAAATCACCCTAGGAGCATGTCCTGAACAATTTAGAGAATAATTATTCTTACTTATTAATAATAATTATTTAGAATAATATTATTTTAACTTCTGAATGTACAAGAAAAGGGAATAGTCTGAGAGAGGTGATTTGACTTCCCAAAGCCACACTCTATCATTTATCCGGTACTATCACAGAAATCAATGCTCTCTCCAAATCCTTAGGCTTTGGGGATACAAGGTAGAAACATTACTGTGGTTCAAGGGTTGGATCTGTCTCCTAGATCAAACAGGTGTGGAGTATTTAGAAAACAAGGTTGATGACTAAGACAAATCACAAGGAAAGGAAGTTTTTGGCCATCCTGCATCAGGATTCATACTTAGATTTACAACTGCTAGCATATAAATAACATCCAGGAGAATAGAAAATTCAGGAGTGATAAAATCCTGTTTTGATGTAGCGATCCTAACTATCCACACAATGTCCAAGGTTGTGATTGAATGCTCAGAAACTTGGACTATTCATGATAAACAAATCCACACATATAATCAAGAGACCAACTTCCCTATGGAATTTCTTCTCCCTGTAGGAAAACTTGGCCAAATAAACTATGACTTGAAGAAAGTTTCTAAATCTTCTGCAATCATTTTAATATCATTTCAATATTGTGTTACACCCAACATAGAGAAGTACATAAAGAAAAGTAAAGGTGATATAGCTTATTGCCTACAGTTTCTGATTAATATAAATATCAGAATTCCTTTTCTTTCTTTCAGTATTTTTATTTTATAATTAACTTAATTTCACATATCTGCCACAGATTCCCCCATCATCCCTCTACCCATCCCCCAGCCCTCCTCCCCAATCCACCCCCCACTCCCACCTCCTCCAAAGCAAGGTCTCCCCTGGGGAGTCTACCCAGCCTGGCAGACTCAGCCAAGGCAGGTCCAGTCCCATCCTCCCTACACCAAGGCTGACCAAAGTGTCTCAGCATAGGCCCCAGGCTCCAAAAAGTCAGCCCATGCACCAAGGACAGGTTCCAGCTCCTCTTTCTGGGGGCCTCCCAAACAGTTCAAGCTAATCAACTGTCTCACTTATCCAGAAAGAAAGTCCCTGGGCATTAGGTTTTGATCAGCTAGTGAATAAGTGAGTATCCAACTAAAGACAGCTGTTTCCAAAATGACTTTCTGTTTTCCTGTTACCACTTTTATATAAAACTATATATAGTGTTAATTGACATTATTACCACTTCACCTTCTCATTCTCACATTTGCATATGTATAACATGCATTTACAAAATCACCTGGTCTCCCTGTACTTCTGCCTCTCTTGGTTATGACAGTGGTCAATAACCACTGAATATGACAAGAATTAGGCTCTGAAAGATAACAGTCACCAATTCATTCATTCAACAAATAATCCAGCAAAATCCCTAGCTATGTGTAGTCCTTCTGCTAAGCAGGTGATCATGAGGCAGGAAATTACACAGGCTTTCACTACATTCTTAGATGGCTAGTGAGAGATCAAGATGAACTGGCTGGGCATGGCCTGTGGCTGCTGCCAATGCCCCTTCTCTCCAGCCACTGATA